CTGCGTGACATTGCAGCACTTGGCGATGGCCACTTCCTCTTCCTGGAGACGGATGGCCAGGGCGGCTTCGATGCAGCCGTGCGGCGCATTTACAAGGCCGAACTACCAGAAGGCAATGAGACGATGATCGAGAAGACCTTGGTGGAAGATTTCTTGCTGGAGCTGCAGGACTGGAGTAGTGACTAGGTCCTAAAACCCAAAAGCCTCTCTGACCTCAAACCTCAAGTCCTCAGCCCTCAGCCTGAAAGCCTACCTGCTGGAACTGCAGGACTTACGGGGGCCTGTGCTGCAACGTTTCGACAGCCTGGCCGTCACCGGGGACCTGGAGGAGCCTTACATGGACAAGCTGACGCTGTGGGTCGTCAACGACAACGGTGGGACCGATGACACCAATGGAGAGACGCAGCTGCTGCCTCTTATCCAACATTTCTATCAATGAGTGTGCTGCTGCCGGCCAAAGGAGTCATAGTTTTCCATGTTCCATTGCAGAGGCCATCTAAGACCACGGTGCATCATCGAAGACCAGGTATGGGCCTCGTGCCCGCAGACAGCCGCGGTCGCACTCCACAAGACAGTGCGGCACTCCGCTAGGTACGTCTAGCACTGTTTGGAAGAACGGCGCAAAAAGTGCTGAAAGTTGAGTTTTGTAGGCGCGTGCCTGCGATAGCAACGCACCCCCTTTCGGTATATGCGATATCCGTGTCCTTTTCATACGCAAGACAGGACGCAGTTGACAACGGAAAGGCGTGATGCAAAAGTGAGCTGCTCTCTGTCTTAGCAGTTGGGTAAGTCCATGTAGCAACCTCGGACGCAGTATGCCGTGACTGCCTTGTGCGAGTGTGCAAGTCGAAACCCCGAGTCAAGAACCAAGTTGCATCTTCCCAGGCTGGCTGCCATCCCGGAAGCCGAGCTTAAAGCACAGGAGCCTTTCCGTCAAAGAATTTCGATAGCACCGTGAGCCTTTGAGGGTTTGGGGTTCTTGGGGCTTGGTTTTTAAGCCCTGCGACCTAGATGCAGGCAGGCAGAGTGTCCTCAGTTTAGCGCGCAGTGCGACAGCGAGGAACATCATTTTTTCGGCTTGAGATCCATCTCTGTGGGGTGCAATGTTGCAACCCGGTTACTTAGTGGCTGAGTAGGTAACCTTTAACCTTTTGGGGCTCTTATAATCCTACTATAAGTCAAAAGGTTAACCTTGTTTGGGCTAGGGTACTCAGCCCCTAAGATTAAGAAACCCTGTCTTACCAGGGCTTTCTTACAGCCGGCTCGTTACCCTAATTTTCTAAACCCTGAACAACCCATAGGCCCCATAGTAGTTCCTTTTTGGTATTACCTTATAGGATTCTATATATGAGCCCCAAAAAGGAACTAGTTTAGGGCCTGTGGGTACTGTAACTCCCCAAAAACCGAAGCCGCTTCTGGTCGTTGTGCTGCGTGGGTTGGAAGAGCGAGGCCTCAAGTCGTGGACCTCAGCGTCACGGCTCCCGGCCTTTTACCAGACCTGGGATTGTAGAAATAACCTGAAGGCCTCCCCACAAAAAACTGTACCGCATAGGTCTTGGGTCTGGGATTGACTTCTCCTACGCTCTAAGGACTCCGAATTTCGAAGAGGCCCTGAATCGCACCTAAAGAACTCGCTCGCACCTTGAAAAACTCTCAACTTAAGTGACACTGAAACCTAAACACGAAGCTCAGTCAGATGGATCCACATGTGACATCTTGGGGCTCCAGCCCAGCGACTCTTCGCCCTCTCACCCGAAAGCCCCGCTCTCAAACATCAAAGCACCTCCGAGCCGCTTTAGTCGAACCTGAAGCCCATGGCCCAAGTCCGAAGTCGAAATCGCAAGTCAAACCCAACACTTCAAAGCTCTTTGGAGGAGCCCTCGATCCAGATCCGTGGCTACCGAAGAGTTGTAGGAGAGGTCCAAGAGGCCTAAGTGTCCCAGGGGTCCTTGAAGTAACTTAGATTTGGCCCAATTTAGTTGGGGTGGTTACGGAAAAAGTGTAGAGCCACCCTGCACCGGTGTTTGTCCGAGTGGTTTCAGCCTGGCATTTCGGTTCGCATCTGTTTGCTTAGGGGACCCTAATATAGTACCCCAAATAGTAGGATCCCTATTATAAGAACCCCAAAATAAGGTACCCCTATTTTCGGAAAGTCCCATATTGGTAGCCTTGAAGAAGACCTTGGGTGAAGCCTCTCATGCCGAGCACACTGCTGGGCCTCTTGACCAGCGCTTGCGCTGACGACATCGATTTACGCAGATACTGTTGATAAAAATCTTGCATTACCTTAAGGACCCTAAATCATGGGCATGACGAAATATCCTCTATTATGGGTATTGCAGGATTTATATCATCAACCGTACGACCCAGGGTTCGAAGTCGGGTTCTGGCAAAGTTGGCAATTTTGGTTCCTCAAGAACCGAAAGCGCAGGCCATTCCGCCGCCGGTTACTAAGTTACAGATACGTTGCGGCTGACCTTACTTGGAGGGCCGGGGGACTTAGCAAATACGTAAGAAGTAGAGGTATGAGTACCCGAAAAGGGATACTTGTTGGGGTTCGGATATTTATAAGTCTTTCAGATAACTACTTACTAAGTCCCCCGACCCTCCAAGTATGCCTCAACTGCGACTTCGAACCCTCCGCCATGCTCGAAGTCAGGTTGCAGAGCCACTTTGAAGAAGAGCCGTAGGATCCAAGCACGGCTCTAGGAGTTGCGGGTGGAAGACTAACGACCCCAATGGTTGCAGAGGGGTGTACTTGGAGGGTCGGGGGACTTAGTAAATGGTTATTGTATAGACTTATAAGTATGATTAACCCCATCAGGGTCCCTTTTAGGGTATAGAGATTTGAGGCTTGGGGGAGGCGGGGTCTCCGCTTGGTTGTGCTTGAGAAATCTTCGGACCTTTTCGAAGTGGTGCTTGGACCCTCCGGGAGAATGTTTAACTGCTTGGCATCTGCACCAGGGCGGACGGACAGCACTTCGAGGTTCATGGCAGCTCACTCGGAGCCGCCTGACGGTTTAGGGTTTAGGGTTTAAGGTTTAGGGTTTAGGGTTTAGTGTGATAGCATCAGCTTAAGCCTCCTTGCCAGAAGATCCCTAAACCCCGGAGCAAGGCCCCGCGAGCCAAAAAGGCAAGAGACGTTCGCCGAAGAGGCGCTGAGAGCGACTGAAGAAAAGAAGGTGACGGCGTTTTGGGATAGTCTCTGGACCCTGAATAACCGTATCGTATACTGGAACCACCCACATCAGGGGGATGTAGTTTTGGACCCCATATCTCTGACATGGTGGAACCCACGCATGTCAGAGGCTTGAAGGGAGCATACCGAGTATGCCCACGCCGGAGATTTCTCTTGAAAGGGCCATGCCAGCATGCTGGATGCAGCCAGTTGTGACAAGGCAGTGCGGTGATGCTGTGAAGTTCCAGCCCAGCGCCCACATAAGCTCTTTTGGTTTTACATACAGCGGATCTGCAGGCAGAAGCATCACCTGCCTGCATCGGTACCTAGTTTTGGAAAGCAAGAGATTGCAAGAAGCACAAACGGATGGCGCTCACCTCGCCCTAGATGCTGATGCTCCCATGTTCCTTCGAGAAAATTCCTTTCCAGACTCCTTGAGCCACTCCACCACCTTATTGAGACCTATTCTTGGGCTATGCCTGAACCTTCAGCCCACAGCCCAACAACCGTAGCGTCGCTGTTTACGTAATGGCCATAGGCATTGTAAATAGGTGTTATTACAGGTTGCTGTAAGTCATGTAACGATTCATAACCCCAATTACGTCGCTCACACCTTATCACCCTCACTTACTCATGTGGGTAACGGTCAGACTCATGGACCCTCTGGGGAACCCAGTAGCATAAGCCTATTCTGAATACGGCACCCTATAGCTTGAAAACCCCAAAGAGGCCCGAATTGGACAAACACCGATGTAGTAATTAGTAATCATCAATGACCTTTCAAGCTGAGGTCGCTGCAAATCACAAGGATCCATAACCACTTATAACCCTCACTTGCCCATGCAACAGTCGTCCATGGACTTTCAACTAGGAGCTGCTTTACATGGGCGCCGAGCGCTTTCTGGCCATGTGCTCAGCTTTGGGGATGGTTGTGTTTTTGTTCAGATAGTCCGGGGGTGTCGACTTTGCCGTCGACTCAATCCTAAACCCTTAGCCCCGAAGGCCTAAACCCCTAAGCCATATTCCACTGAAGCTGTCTGGAAAACGCCAAGCTGTCCCCGTGATCTTGTTTGTCACGCTTGTTACTTAGGTTTGGACAAGTAAGGACGCAAGCATAAGGATCTGCAGCATATGTTACTGGGTTCAAGGCTGCAGAGGTTCGAAAACTCCCAGCTTCAGCCCCTGACTGACGTATCCTTGACAACACGACTTGTGCTATAGTCCTTTCATGTGGATGATGCAGAGCTTGTGTTCTTCAGCGCCAGGGTTCGGAATGTATAAATGAACGAATGTGTGTAACCCGGAAAATCCTTAAACCTTGAAGCCCAATCTTTCAACATGTTAAAGTCAGGGTATAGGCTGGAGAAGCTTTAATGAGTAAGAGCTGATTTGATAAGCTTCGCTGCCTTGAACGGGACTACAACAAGTCCCGCTTAGTGCCCCAGCTTTGGACTTGAAAGTGGTGGCTTTCGGCCGAAGGTTCTCTCCTGACAAGGCAGTTTCGAGGCTAAACCCTAGACCCTAAACCCTTAGACCCCTACCTTAAGAACCCCATTTGGGTTCTTAAGGTAAACCCTAAACCCTAAGCAAGCAGAAGGGGGGCGCTCAGACTGTCGAATCCATCCCAGGGCTTTCTCAACTCTGAAGCGTTACCCCTAAACCGTGTACCAAAGGAGATCCACTCGAGGGTGCGCGCGCCGATCCTGGCAAAGCACATCTCCCGAATTATGTGGGCCCAAGCCTCAAAGAGCTGATGTTGGAGGAAATCTCCTCGGTTTCAGCTACTTAAAGGATCATGGGACTTAGTAACTGAGGTCATCAATGAGGCAACTATACTTTCATACTTGCTTATAACCCCGATTAAGGTACTTATAACCTTACTTACTAAGTCCCAAGATCCTCCAAGTACACTCAAGTACACCAGAACCCGGCGAATTTGCCTTGAGTCCACAGAAAGCCTGGTAATCAGGGTAGGTGTGTTTGTACACCTGGCTTTCACGCATGTACAGGCGTGCTGATCTTCGCATAGGTACCAGCAGACGGACAGATAGAGAGAAAGAGAGGGAGAGAGGGGGGCAGAGATGTAAATGCAGTGGGAGAGGTGCATGTAGAGTCACTGTGTGCGCATGTGGGAGTTTCTCGCCCGGGCTTTGATTCAGAGCTTCATGCGCCCCAGCAGTGATCGAAGCTCAGATGGTTTCCGCCTGTCAAGCCTTGAGCCATAGTCACTTCAATCATCAGCATCAAAGCCCAATTTCGTT